TATGGAGGTCAAGTCTATCAAGGGCCCTTAGTCTTTAAAACTCTATCACCTCAGAGTAGGAGCAGCATCATTCCACATATTTGTTGTAGGGGAACAATGACAGAAGAAGTCTATGTTTCTATCTCCTGCTTGTGAAACCATAGTAGGATTTGGCTCACTATTGCTGGCCTAAGACTAAGCTGTTTTATGTTCTTAGGTTCCTCAAAGGCCCATTTTGTACTATTATAGTTTGTGGATCTCTCTCTCTTTCTCTCTCTGCTGCATAAACTTAAATTGGCATTAATATTCCAAGAAAGCAATGCTAGATAATAAGGACATTATTAGATAAAATAAGCAGCAGGCTTTTGGCTAAGATTAAGTGACTTTATAAAAGGTCACCAAGCATCTGATAACAATTATGCTAATTGATGGTCTGGGTGTATATTCAGAAAAACCTAAAATCTGCAATGCTGATCTTGTTGGATTCAGAAAAGGAGTTTGATATGAATTTTTAAAAACAAGTTGGATTTCTTCCTTTTTTATTTGGACCAATATGTAGCTACCCCACTCCTTTTGAAATATGAATTTTTAAAAACAAGTTGGATTTCTTCCTTTTTTATTTGGACCAATATGTAGCTACCCCACTCCTTTTGAAATATGAATTTTTAAAAACAAGTTGGATTTCTTCCTTTTTTATTTGGACCAATATGTAGCTACCCCACTCCTTTTGAAAGGGCTAATATGAATGGAATTATTTCTTTATGTATCAAAATGTCTTGTAGAATTCATTAAGGATGTCCTTTATCTCCTCTTATTTTTAATTTGATATTGGAACTATTGGCTTAACTATTGGCTTGGAAAAATTCTAACAATAGCCTGAGTCAAACTGTTATTATATGCCAATAATGCTTGATAATTACGTGTTTTGTATACCAAACTGTATTGATATTGTACAACAATTTGGCAATTTATCAGGGTATTTAATTCATTGGAATAAGATTCTTACACTTCTTATAGGCTCTAATGTATTAAAATGTATAAAATGTGGGGTTTTACTTGTTGAATTATTTCAAATACCTGGGAATAATTATTCCAAGGAAAGTTTTTTTGTGGATGTAAACGTATTCTACTTTCTTTCTCAAATAAAAATGGACTTAAATAATTATTAAAATTCTGTTGAGCTTATGGGGCAAGATAAATGTAACAACATTAGTATAAGATTTATATATTTACTTAGAATGTTTCTGTGTTAAAATCGTTATTTGGAGCAAATTGGAAAAACATTTAAGAAATAATCTATGGGAAGAGCAACCCTCTAGATTTTCTTTATCTAAGCTATGGCTGTCATATGACAGGGTTTAATAATTCTTCCATATACATCAGCAGCATCAGTTTTTTTCAATTATTGTAATATTGTAATATCCCTTATTAAGAAATGTATGGCTAAGAGTTTTAAAGAATGTAAATTATATTTTTATGATATAAAGATGCAACTAATTCAACAAAAGGTTTTCTTCCCCTTAACTGGACAGAGAATATTTTTAAAGAGCTGGCTGACAACTTTACAACGTTTGAAGTGTAAAATAGATGAGGAGGCACTTAACTGATAAAATATAGGCTTGTTCCACTATTGCCCCATTTAATATCTATAGGTTTGTGGCAAAAATCAGTATGATTTACAGATGTGAACATACTCTTGAATTATTAACCGAAAGTTGGAATTTAGCATTTTATCATGAGTTATGGATTCATCCATGCAGAAACAACAAATAATATTACTCTTCATTGTTGGAAAGACAATGGGATTCCAGGTGTTTGTACAATCTTAGATCACTGATGTGTTTGCATTCTGTTTACAATCTAGCTCTTTAACAATACAATGCAAAGACTGCTCAGTATTATTCTGTATGCTCGAGATTTAATATGTTTAGAAATTGAGCTGAATTATTTTTTTGATATGTGAAATTATTTTTTTGTTCTTTAATTTTCCTGTTTGTGTTCTTTGTGTTCTTTTTAATTTTTTTATATATTAAAGAAACATATTTTTTGATATGTGAAAAAGGGGATTTCTGTTGGCCTTTGGGATATCTTTTTTTTTAATGCCTTTGAATCAGTGTTGATTCCTGGTGACTGCCTGGACTAGTCCCTGCAGTTACGTATTTCTGCAAGTTTTTTGGAAGTGGTTTGCCATTGCCTGCTTCCTAAGGCTGAGAAAGAGTGACTGGCCCAAGGTCACCCAGCTGGTTTTGTGCCTAAGGCAGCAATAGAACTCACAGTCTGCCAGTTTCTAGCCTAGTACCTTAACCACTACACCAAACTGGCTCTCTGAGATATCTTAAAGCTCCATTTTGTTATTTATACTATTCAATATTTATAGGAAAACTCTGAGATAAGTCATCTGAAAGTTTAGATAGATCTCCTGCTAGTATGCAGCTCTGGAAAACTCACCTTACTGTATACATGCACAATTTCTAATACAGAGATGCACTTTCCTTTAATGGGAAATGCAACTGATATCTTCATTATAATCTTATGTATTCTTAACATGAAGGACAATTGCTTACCACCAACCTTTCATTCTTTGGGTAAATCAGATGAAAATAGAGTCTTCTGTTTATGTCTTAGAAATGTCCTCCCAAGGTCAACTCCCTTTTTTCTCTACACGCATACCTATAACTGCCTAGAAAATTACAGCTTCTTTCTGATCTGCTCATTTAGCAGTGTATCTTCCCTTTTTTTGTCCACTCTCTGAGTTCCTGTAAATTTGTCAGTTTCTGATTGGAACCATCTTGCTCTTCCTCTCTAGACCACCCCAGACAGAACAATAAGGAAGGATAATTATTTCTCACTCTTTCACATTATTTTCTATCATTGTTCTCACTCCTGCTCCTATCCCCAATCTAATCCAACCCAAAATGAGCTACGCTTCTGAACTGTGTGGTACCCATAACCTCCTTTTTCCACTTATTTTTTTCCGTTAGAAATGTCACTGAGTTATAGATTGTTTTTGCCATATTCTTTTAAATTTCACAAAAAACACATTAATAAAAAGAACCCCTGACCTTTAATTCTCCAGGGTGCATTATCAACACTATGGAATTGGATCTGTATCTACATACTTGATTCCTCTGGATTTTACTTGGCATGTGACCAGGTCCTCAACAAAATATGCCAGGGTCACATGAGAGATGAAAACTTCCCAAGCACACCATCTAAGGAAATCCTTTCAATCAATCTTAATCAGGATCAACAAGGACTCAGCATGTGTGACATGTATCCTGAGGAAGTATGATAAGTTCTACATGAAACATCTTGAAAGCAATTTCAGTCTGCAAATCCAATATATATCTACTCTGAAGAAAAGCCAGTGGAGTTCATTGGGATACTCCAAGGTGAATGTGTAGACTTGCTAATGTAATGAAAATGAGATGATGGCAAAGAGATACAGAAGTCTTTACAGCTGTCTAATGGTTATTTGGATTTCCGCAGGTGGTATATTGTAGCTCTAAAGGACAATGGTGCCGCACTTGGATATTCAATAACTCTTTATCCAGTAGAACGTGATATATGTTTAAGGACGCTCAGCAAACAATATAAATACATTCAAACAGAATTTTGTTTTGTAGAATCTCAACAGATGTGCAATAAACTTTTTCTCACAACATTTTTCAAAATTCATCTAATATTTTTAATGATTTGCATATAAAAATTACGAATGTGATGCATTTCCAAACATAGAAATAAGGCTATAACATTTCTGCACATTACATAGGTGTCTAAGGTGAAGAATATGCCAGAAAACAAGTAACAACTACTTTTCTGTTTCCAACTCTCTTCTACTACACGCATTTATCTCGCTCCTTCTAGCAACAACCCCCTTCATTAAGTAAAAAAGAAAAGAAAAAAAATTAACTTTGCCCAGTACATTTTAATTTAAAATTAACTACAACTCCCAGGATACTATGCGGTGCCGGGCGAATGGGCGAGCTGCACTGTGCAACATAAAATTACGACCTCTTTTCACCGTCTCCGCCCTTGCGCTACAATTACCTCAGAGCCTTTGCAAGAAAGGAGGAGCATAAAGAGGAGGGGAAAGCCACCCTGAGCAAACGCAAGAGGCCACGGAGCGAATCACAACCCGGGAAACAAAACTGCCGGCTTTCAAATCCTCCGCCTCCCTTAACGCCATCATCTTGGGAGGCTGCGGTGGCCGTAGCGGCTCCAACGTGACAAGTGAGATCCGACGCTCCCAGGTAGGCGGACGCGGCTGTCCGCGCGCACAAGGGCGGGCAGTTGATCGGCTTGATGTATTCGAGGGTCGTTGGTAAGTTGGGGGTGGCTTCGCTCCCCCTTCCCCTCGATTCTGACTACGCCTGCCGGGGCACGGAAGGGACCGTATTGTGTGGGAGGAAGGAGGCACTTCCGTCTTGCTCCCTGGGCTGCACGTGTAGGGGTATGTCTGTAGCTCCCCTGTACACGTGTCACGGGTGGTGGGGCTGCGGAACGAAAGACATTCTTGGGTAACCGGACCCGACGCCGGTCAAACCTCCCTCGTACTGATAGGTTTTCCTGCCAAAACCTGCCTGTTCTCTCCTCTGTATGACGTCACGCCCTCGTTGCTCTTTACTAGCGAGGCCAGCCTGGCCAAGGAGATTAGGTTGGGTTATGTAAATTCTGTGCGTGCATATTTATTTATTTATTAATCACATTTATATTGCCGCCCAGTTATATGAGCTGGGATTTCAGAATGAGGTCTTCGGTAATGAGTGCGTTTTCATCTCCGTCGCTATTTCATTTACTTTGTTAAAATTTACCGTTGCTTATAGAAGAATAAGGGGAAAACCTGAGCTGTTTTGAGGTGTCACTAGTTTAGCTAAGCAAAGATTGATAAAATTATAACGTGTACCAATATGAAATGCTGTACATAAAGAGTTCTATCACAGTGAGGAATAAGAAGGATAGAACAACAAAGATTTCTCTAACACTTTTGGGTTCTTTCTAGTGAAAAAGTTGATATTCTTCAGCTGACCTTTAAAAAAAATAATGCAGTGGTTCCAGAAGTGGAGAGAAGTGATGGCAAGACATCATAAAGAGGGAGCCTTTCTAGGATACAGACTAAAATTGCCAGGGTACTGCAATCCAAAAGATTTCTGTTGATCAGAAGGTACAGAAGACATTAGTAAATAGGCTCAGGAAAACGTGGAATTTTTAAATTTTCCATTTCCAAATTATTTCAAGGTTTGAAGAACAATCTGAAATGTACTGAGAAAATAAACAGAAGTCAGTAATTGAATAATACCGAATCTGCAGAATTTGCATTCAGTTGATGTTTCCAATTTTTTTTAGAATGCATGTTAAAGTAATAAAGATCCTTTGATAGTTGCCAGATTTTTTTCTTTCTCCTGTAAAAAAGAGTCAAGCGTGTGCACACAGTGATAATTGCCACTGTATGATTATTCAAGAGCAAAGCTGAGTCCAGACATTCTTACAAACTGGAAATTAGATCTTTCAAGAAGACTACAATCCTGTCGCAACTAATTTTATACTTTGTCTTGGATACCGGTATGCTATTTCTGAAACAACTGATACACGTTAATGCATTATCTGATGAACATCTGAATATTCCATATTTTAGAGCTGAAAATAATATGTCAACACAACATTTTAAAAAACAATTTGTGTTTAAAGGTGGCTAAAAAGTGTTAACAAAATATTAATGCCAAGAGGTATATTTAGATCTGTAAGACAATATATCAATCCAGGTAAAAAATAATGAGAAAGTGATCTTTCTTTCAGAAATAAGCAAAATCATTGCTGCAAACTGAATTTCAGTGTAGACCTGAAAAGAAAAGACTTAGTCAATCTTTTAAAATTGTTCCATCTTCCAACAAGTGGTTCCTGTTGATCTGGAGATATTTCTTAATAATGAACTTACAGATCACAGATAACAATAATCTAGTTTTATTGTTTATGCTGCTGAAAAATCCTGGTAAGTTTTCAGAGTAACTCCAGTATAATTTTCTTTTGTCACACAACTCAACTTTTATTTTTTTCTCCAAAGTAACAGGAAAATAAATGTCCTTAGTAGTATAACAAAAACATGGCAATGACTACTCTATTATCCTTTGTTACTGTTTCAGCCACTCTCCTTTTCTTTTATACTTTTGTAGTGGCAAATAATAAAGTAGCATTATGAAATAATGTAGGTCTCTGTCAGTGCTACTTGTTCATTTTCTTTGGAGAGTCATCTGTGGCTGGAACAGAACAGTTGGGAATTACAGTGTGTGGCTGGGGAAACACTTCTCATAAATTACTGAAGCAAAAAGAAAGCTGATAGGAAACCCTCTGTTGATAGTTCTGTTTCCCTTCCCCCTTTTAATCTTAAAAAGTTTACTTTTTATTCTCATCAGTAGTTCCTTGCTCAAGCTTGTATATAAAATAGGATAGATAGAAACTAGAAATAAGAAAGAATTAATCTTTGTGGAATGACTGTATAATTGACTTTTTAAAAAAGATGGATCTGGGCTTTTCTGGATGGTGAATTTGGCTGTCCAAGTAATCTGTTTGAGACCTTCCTTGCCTAGTGCATCCTCTGTCCTATACTATCCATCCTTGCTTGAAATGTGCTGACGCCGAAACTTAAGGCAAGCTGCATTATTTATGCATAAATTAGCAGAAGCAGGGTGATAGCATTTACTGTTAAATGATGCTAAGTAGCATGTGGTAAACTGAGTAATCTTTTGGGTGAAATGGCCTGGCTGGTTTTGCCTGATCAGAACTGACATAGCTATCTTCACAGCAAGCTTTCAGCCTGGTATTAAACTGTTCCGTAATGCTCTTCCTTGGCATATTATCATGTAAGGTAATTAGAATTTATTAGTCTATTACACTTGGCATTTTTATAGGTCATTACATGAACAATTTATCTCTTGCTCTCTTTTCTTCACTATTTTTTTCTGATAAGTAGCAAAAAAATCAATAACTATGAAGCAATAGAACCAATTCAATAACAATCTTTAGCTTACTCTTGTTAGGCTATACCAAATGAAGAGAATAGGAGGGAGTCAAAAGAGGCTAATTTTTATATCTCTCACACACTCACTTATTTCTCTCTCTTCCTTTCCAGCATCTTTCCCATCTGATAATCAGTAACAGTTGGCACAGTCAAAAAATGGCATCAGAAGATATAACTAAACTTGCAGAATCACTTGCTAAAACCCAAGTGGGAGGAGGGCAGCTGAGCTTTAAAGGCAAGAGTCTGAAACTCAATACTGCAGAAGATGGTAAGAGGACTTGCTGTTAATGTTAATTATGAGTGTTTCATTGAGTAGACGTATTACTTTTGCAGCGCTCATTTATGTAAAACAAAAGCATATATTATAAACACCCCAAAATAGAATCCTTAAATCCCAAATGACTTCTGGAGAATGATCGTGGATCTCATGGTGGATAACCGTGTGAATAACATGTGAATCAGCAATCGGGAATCTGTTATTTTGCTCTAAGCCATCTTGGTAAAGGATGCAAAATTTTAAGATAAAAAGGAAGGGATGGCATGTTTGATAGAGAGGTAGTAAGACTGTGAGGTGGAATTATAAGGGAGAATAGATGCGGTTTGGGTTGGAGTACAGAAATATTCTGCTTATCTCTGCAGCTAAAGAGGTGATTAAGGAGATTGAGGAGTTTGATGAGCTAGAAGCCCTGCGTCTGGAGGGCAATACTGTGGGGGTTGAAGCAGCAAAGGTCATTGCCAAGGCTCTGGAGAAGAAATCTCAGCTCAAGGTGAGAATTTTGATGGCTGATTGTTTTGCATAATAATGGAATTATACCTTAAATTCATTAAAAGTTTGGCTTGTTTGAAGGATATCTTGGCATTGACAAGCATAAGAAACATTTTATAGGCTCTTACTGATTGTTACATTATACAGTAGATAACATTAACTCTCAGCCCTGTATACTCTGTCATATATCTCTCTCATACCCACCACTCTGTGCCATAGATGTATTGTGTTTTAGAGTCATTGGAGTTGGCATTGCTCAAATCCTATGAAATTGTGAATGATGCTGCTTTTTTTTAACATATATTGTTAAAATATATATGTGCAAGCTGGTGTTCCGTATTTGAGCAAATAGCATAAATAAATGCATGCACCCTTTGGAACTTCATGATTGTGTCAGCTTCCTAATGTTCACATGTTGCTGTTATGTGTTACTACATTGCATATCACAAATAGTTTTTCCTTACTGAACAAAAAAACCTCCCTATAGTCATTTTTGTAGTTATGCATATTGTTCACCAAGGACTTCGTAGAGAAACAAACACAGTTTATTATATATTATATTTATAACACTGTTCTTATTGTATTTTAATTGATTCTTATTCTTATTTTTATTGTAAACCGCCCAGAGTTGCTCTCTGAGTGAGATGGGTGGTGACTAAATTTGACATATAAATAAAATATACCTTCGATGATTTTTACCATGTTTATAATATGTATGTTATTCTAGAGGTGTCATTGGAGCGATATGTTCACTGGAAGACTGAGGTCTGAGATTCCCCCTGCTTTGGTATGTGCAATATATAACTGTTAACTGTTATTAACATAAGATTTTTCTAATGCTAAAGTGTGGGAACATTATCTGAGGTTAGTGATCAAAATGACAGCAATATGCTGATTTTTTACAGAAGTTTTGGATGGAAGCAAGGGCCAAACAAAAGAACATTTGGGGAGTGATGATAAATCAGTAATATAGTATATATAATATTCTATGAAGAAGTTCCAGGTTCAGTACTTTATTGTCATTTCCAGTTAAGAGACTTCTCAGTGGGAAGGCAAAGATCATTGGCTGAGACTGCTGCTAATCAGAGTAGGTCATGCTAAGATAAACAAATAATGGTCTAATTCAGTTCAAGGCAGTGTGATAGGTCATAAGTTTAAGAAGAAATATTGTTGAAGAAGGAATGAGTTGCCCTGTTTCTCTAAGCAGGCTAAGGAGAGAAATGAACAGATGTTTTTAAATTAAAACTCAGATAGTATGGCTTTAAATTTTGAAGTGGGCTTTGAGAGAGAGAGAGAGAGAGAGAGAGAGAGAGGCTGAGTTCACATATTGTACTAAGACATGATTGATTATCCTGTTTTTTCTATTTTGTGAATGAGAAGGAGCATTCAGATCAGCTGGCAATGAGTGAAACCTATTCAAGAATCCAGCCTCTTTGTAGGTATGCTTACTCAGAGGAAAGTTCATTTGTGGCTTATTCCTGTGTAAGGATGCCTAGGATAATTTCCTAGCAATTTTTCCCTTTCTACCACATTTCTATACACAAGCTTAGGAATATTCTTTAACTCTTATGTGAAAAGCTACATATACTTTAGGGATACTATACAGAGTGTCGTTGTATATTCCACTTAGCATAACTTGAAACAATACATCAAGAAGCAAAAAAATACTGCCAGCTTTGAACACAATGTCCTCCTTCTGTAAAAGAAGGGATTTTATCCTACCTTTTATCGCTTGTCAGATTTCTCTTGGTGAAGCCCTCATTTCTGCTGGGTGCCAACTTACAGAGCTGGATCTGAGTGATAATGCCTTCGGACCAGATGGAGTGCGTGGATTTGAGGCATTGCTGAAGAGCCCTGCCTGTTTTACTCTGCAGGAACTCAAGCTAAACAACTGTGGCATGGGCATTGGTGGTGGCAAGGTAAAAGGCATTTCCTGGATTTTTATGAAGTGGATAAAAAATGTTTGGCTTCCAGCTTCCCTTGTGATTTGTTTCTATGCACATAATGTATTGCTATGGATTGTTGCTTTACAAAGCCCCACAAGTTGATGGGGAAGTCAGCTTCACTTACGCTAATGAAAAATAGACTGGCTTATTCTTAGCCTGCCATAGAATATTCTGGAGGGTACTCACGCTGCTTTGTTAGGAGATAAAGAATCTGCCACCCTGTTTCCCACACAGAGAAATCTGAGTTCAGTACACACGCTAGATTCATGCCATTTTCCTGACCCAAATTACTCTTTTGTGATGTTACAATTGTGAGTAGAGTTTACTAGAGCATACTGCAATGTTACTAGCAGAGTGTCTGTATTATGTATATAAAACTGCAGTTTAAATAATTTGTTCCTTGTAGGCATGGAGAATTGACACCTTAGCAATGTAAACATTGCTTTTTCTTAAGATCTTAGCAGGAGCTCTGAAAGAATGTCACAGGAAATCAAGTGCTCAAGGCAAGCCGTTGGCTCTGAAAGTATTTGTGGCTGGCAGGAACCGTCTGGAAAATGACGGTGCAACTGCTCTCGCTGAGGCATTCACAGTGAGTACAAGAAGCAGAGTCTTATCCCATTAAACAGTTATGTGTAATTGGCAAATAGGAAGGGAAAGTCTGAGCCTTGGTAAGATGTGTTCTAAAGAACATGAATATTCTTCCTTATATGCTCCAACTGTGATTTGTCGTACATTAAGTTGTTGCTAGCTCATGGCTATTGGTGCTACTTTTGTAGCTACTGGCGAATTTCTCTGGAGAAACAGCCAGTTCCTAAATGTATTTGGAGGATTCAACAAATTGGACATCATATTAAAAATGTGCTATGGCTATAGTATTGTTTGATCACTGTAATGCAGCAAGTTTGACCCAGCTGCCCTACTTGAGTACAAGCCTATTGTTCTGTATTCTGTTTCAACATACAGATAGTCCTCAGGTTATGACCATTCAAAGTTCATTCAGCAACTATTCAAAGTTATGATGGTGTTATCAAATGATACTTACGACTGGTCCTCAGTTTCAACTGTCGCAATGTCCCTGTGGTCACGTGATCATGATCCAGGTGCTCAGTGCCTAGCTCATGATTATGTCACGTGATCACGATTTCTGACATTCCCTACCAGCTTCTCGCAAGCGAAGTAAATGGGGAAGCCGGCAGGAAGTTGGGAGTTGCAATCACGTGAGGTCCACACTTAATGACCTGCACAGTTCTTGGATTACAGCGGCAACTGGGACTGCTGGAATTGCTGTGGTTAAGTGATGTGGTCACGTGATGTTACACTTGACAACTGGATCACTTAGCAGTGGAAATTCTGGTTCCAATTGCCATCAGAACTCGAGGACTACCTGTAGTTGTATCCAAGCAATTGTAGGGGAAATTTAGAAGAAAGATAAAGGTGAGCATAGGAAGCTTTATCTTAACACTTTTGTTAGGACATTTGCTCTGCATTTAGACTGTTTTTAGATTCTTATTTTATGGTCATATGGGCTTCTGAGAGGACTGGCAAAGTGAGCTATACAAGAAGAATGTCCCAGAAACTGCTTTTTATCACTTATAGTAAATAGGGACCTCAACTGATAAATCTATTTAAGAAGTTGGGGTGAGTATACATAGATATGTACCTATCATGTTTTTGGTGTAAGTAACCAAATGCAAAGTACAGAAAAAACCAAGTATGAGTATGAGAAAAAGAAGCTAAGTGTTGTGCTTATTGTTTTTGAAAATAATTTTATTAAAGTAATCATGCATTGCACTCTGATTGGTGAGTCTCTGGAAGCAAACTCTAGGCTTCAAAATAGCTTCTGAATTCCACTGTTTTAGATTAGAATAAGCAATACTTGCCTTATTGTGTATGAAGAGTTTAAATAGGGTGTAGAGAAACGTGCAGTTATTAGGAAAAAGTCTTTTTACCTCTGCTTGAACAATGGTCTTCTGTGCTATCTTGTGTCTCAGGTTATTGGGACTTTGGAAGAAGTTCATATGCCACAGAATGGAATAAATCATCCAGGAATTACAGCCTTAGCTCAGGCCTTTGCTGTCAATCCCTTGCTGAGAGTGATTAATTTGAATGATAACACTTTCACTGAGAAGGGAGCTGTGGCTATGGCAGAAGTAAGTACCTTTCAATAATAATTTAGTCATACTTTTTTATATTAATACCAATTTCTACATTAATAGTGGTTTGGATTCAAATATAGAACAGCAGTCATGAAATAAAATGGATTAATAACTGGCTAGAGAACAGAAAACAACAATTTGGATTTTTGCCGATGTACATTCTTTAGTTTGTTTATACGTTAATGGATGTGAGATAGCAATCTGGAGGCTTTGGGTAACACTGTTGAATTTGCTAATGTAAAATACAACACTGACCATCCTTGGGAAGGTTTTAAAATGAGATTAGAGAAATTCATGAAGAGCAAGGGAACCATTTTAGCTATATATTGTATCAGTAGTGGTGTGCCTCTAAATTCCTTAATAGAGAACACAGGTACGAGAAAATGTTTGCACTCAGGAATTGTTGAATGAGCTCTTCTGAAATGCTGGATTCAGTAGGTCTGATTCAGTACAAGCTCTTATGTTTTTAAGAGGAAGCGCTTTTGTCATGGTTGAATGGTCTGCATTATTTTCTTTGTTTTCCTCAGACCCTAAAGAAACTCCGCCAAGTGGAAATGATCAACTTTGGTGATTGCCTGGTGCGTTCAAAAGGTGCAGTTGCTATTGCTGAAGCTGTTAGTGAAGGCCTTCATAAACTAAAGGTATTGGTCATACTTTAATCCTCTCTTTGTACATTGCTGTTGTATGCTGTGAGACAAACTAAATTATGACTGACATAAGTATGTTTACTGGGGATCTTTAGTTGTGCCCAGCATGCAGTGAAGAAAAATAAAGAGCAATCTTGCTCTGAAGCTGTGGCCCAAACCCGCCACAGCGGAGCCAGTTAATTTCCTAGGTTTGTTGACAGCTTCTGAGGTTATAGTAAAGGCTTTGGTGTTAGAGATGATATAAATATGAAATAAATACATTCTTGTATTTTGTGAAACCACTTGGAGAACACTGATCTTAAATCCTAAAATTATGGTTTTTAAATCCTAAAATTTTACTTATGGTTACCATCCATCTTAAAGCTAAAGATACAGTTATGATCTGTAAGTCAAGTAAAAACACCAAGCATTTACAAACATTCAGTTTTGTCAAGCTACTTGATGAAATTAGAGAATAGTATGCATTCTGTTCAAGAATGTCTATATTAAATTGGAACAAAGGGCAACATGTTCAAGTCTAAAATATGGATGAGTAACCTTTTAAATCCTAAAGCTGAATAAGTTGCCAAGCTGGGGCAACGTATTTGCATGCATGTATCAGATCCACGTGCACATGCGCACATCGCTTTCAATCCCTCCTTTACAGCTACCCTCTGGAAATTATCAGTTGCTGTTGCCATCTGGTTTCCCAGTTGGTTAGGGTTGGGGTTAACCACAGATTGTTTAGTTTTCTATCATTAATAGCAACAGGGAAAAAATCCATAAGGCTAGTGAGAAGAAGGGGGGGGGCATAGTTTACCCACTCATGATCTAAAACAGCAGTGAAACAAAAATGAAATCAAATCAATCATTATTTGTAATCTAGCCATCTTCTTGCTGCCCCCATTATTCCTGAATTGTTTTTGGAGATTCTGGATGATATGAACATATTGCTATGAGCCATGCCAGGAGCCCACATAAAAATATTTCTTGCGTTCTTCCTAATCCAGGCATTCTTATGAAACCTTACTTTCTGCTTTCTAGGAACTCAACTTATCCTTCTGTGAGATCAAGCTAGATGCTGCACTAATAATTGCTGAGGCTACTGAGGACAAGTCAGAGCTAGAGAAGTTAGATCTCAATGGTACTGTATGGGATTGTGCTGTGGTTGATAATCTGTTTTTAGTAGCTAAAAGTCTGCAACCAAACTGTTGGCTGGTTAGGTCAAACTAACATATAAATTAATATAAATTCCCTTCTCTTCCTCAAGTTCATTCTCTTTCAGTTGAGCTTCCTACAGATTCATGATCTTTTCTGCACCTTCCCTTTACCAACTGCCACTGGATGTCTAGTTTCCATAAATCTGCAGTCTCATCCTAAGTGATAATGGACCACAGGGTTAACCGTAGTTCCTAAGCTCATGCAAGTTTTATTCCTAGGTAGATTTATTGACTTTTTCTCAGAGACTGGATAGGAAACAGCTTTAGCTTGACAACTATGTTTTGTGGGCAGGCATAGCGTTTGTGAAAACACAATAATGGCCCCAAATAAGCAACTTGTCTGCAGCCAAAAGTCATAACGAATGTGACGTGATGGTGCCACAGTATATGAGCATGGCCAGTATGTTTCTATGTGTGTTAGAGGTAAGGGGCCTTGGGTTTTAAAAACTTTTTTAGGTGTGTTAAACACACCAGAAAGCTCACACGCTGTTTTGTTTTTAATCTGAATATTGGTAGGAAACTGCACCTATGTAATTTTGGCAGCATGGACTCTGGAGATACAAAACAATGTGCACATGTAATCTCTAGACCACAGATTGCCCATCCTAGCTGAGTCAATTGATTTCAGAGGTGTTACAGTAACACAAGATATTATGAGTATTTTCTTTAAAAACAAATGTGTAGTGTTGCTAAATCAATGACTAGTTGTTCCATCAACTTTAATTATAAAATTTTTCATTCATATATGATACTGAAGCTTTAGCAGTTTTATTGAGTTCTCCACTTGGGAACATAAAACTTTTTAAAAGCTCTGTTGTACTGCAAGACAAACTATCTTTTAAAAGCTTTGGAATTCTCTCAATATACAGATAGTCCTTGACTTATGACCACAACAGGGACCGGAAAATTCATCATTAAGCAGCATGGTCATTAAGCGAGGCATCACATGATCACACCTGATTTTAAGACTTTTTTTGTGGTGGTCATTAAGCGAATCACCACAGTCATTAAGTTAATCATGTCATTAAATGAATCATGCGGTTCCCCATTGATTTTGCTTGTTGGAAGCTGGCTGGGAAGGTCGCAAATGGCGATCACGTGACCCCAGGACACTGCAACCTTCATAAATACATGCTGGTTGCCAAGCACCCAAATTTTGATCACGTGACTGCAGGGACTGTGACGGTCGTAGGTGCAGGGACTGTAAGGTGTAAGTCACTTTTCAGCACTGTCATAACTGAACGGTTGCTAAACAAATGGTTGTAAGATGAGAACTACCTGTATGCTTTTATCCTTGTCATAGGCAATTGTTTTGGGGAAGAAGGCTGCGAACAACTCCAGGAGATTCTTGAAGGCTTCAATATGGCAGAGGTCCTAGGCTCCCTGAGGTAAGATACAAATAGACCTTGCAATAATTGGCTATTACAATTTCTAGATAATTTAATGCATGAAATAGCTACTTATTCAGCAGCAATTAAGCTCAATGTGCACTAGCACTTTTGTTGTTGATTTTATAAATTTCATTGCAAGACTCTTATTAAGCCAGAAAATAAATTGATGCTGAATCTTTTTATTTGACCTGGATGTTTGGTTCTTAAAAACCTGTATTATATACACAGATTCTGAAAATGATTTATTTGATATGATGGATATTCATGGCTGCAAGGCTTGTTTAAGTGCCTCTCAGCACAACCTCAGTAGTAAAAGTGAGATAAAGTGCACTGTGCAGATTTGCATAATATGGTTTAAGTTTAATTTGCAGTGTGACTTTGGCAGAAGCGGAGAAATACACAGGTGGTTGTAAATTGTTCTTTCTGCCTCACCTCCAGCCTTCAGGGTTCAGCCTGAGCTACATTCCAGGGTTTCAGAAACCACTTTGTTCCAGCTGTTGCCAGAGTTCTTTCCAATCTGCAGTAAGAAAATTTGAGATTGGGAAGATTAAAAAAAAATAGTAAAATAGTCTATTCCACTTTTTTCTCCCCCCAAAATTGTGAGTTGGAAAAATCAGAGTCTTGTCTCTTTCAACCTTTCAAATGCACAGTATCTGCACAATTGCATTCCTTCTTCATGCAGTAGGGCTACCAGATCTGTACTGCAAAACTCTGGACCACTAGATGGCGACAAAGAAATGCAGAAAACCCAAACTCATTGCTCCCAGATAGTGACTGTTTGGATTTTTGCAGCCCAGATTTGGTATTCCTGTTACACACACCAGGAGAAAGTGGAGTTGGGTTGGATTTAATACCATTTCTCATTATGAATAAGGAAATGAAAAGAAAAAAAAAGAATGTGCAGCAGTAAAGTCATCATGTGTACAACTGTAAGCATCCTGTCTTCCATATAAGCTAGGACTCTGAATTACGATGTTCCTGGCTTATGTGGAAGCCAACAAGTTTTGCTGCTGCAATCAGTTATGCTCAACACATGCTTGTGAACAGGTAATATTATTTGATTGATTGATTAGTTAATTATGGATAAGTTCATTCTCTTTGTAGAATGAGGAAATTTCAGGTCTACACAAAGTTAAACCACATCCATAGTGTTACTGATATTACTCTTGTGACCTTGATCTGCAGTACTAGTCAGAGACAATAGTACTATTTTGATTTGGTAAAATGCTTTTGGCCCAGATAGACTTCAGAACCTGAAAACACTGTGCAAGCTGGTAGTTGTTTGATCCTACTCATCCATCGCAAGGAAAAGGCTGCTTCTCATGTCTAAAAATCAACTTGGCAAACTCTTGCCAGAGTTCAGTTTTTTTACCAAAGCACATTTAGTTGGAAGAATATTTTAAATAAAAGCACATTTTAAATAAATATTATAAATATATGATTGCTATTTTGAGAAAATAAACATATCCTTTTAAATGAATGTGTAGTGTTATAAATAAATGCATAATGTTATAACTAAATATCGTAAAAAAATTAATAAGGAAATGACCTTGTAGACAGTAAGATGACTTACTGTGTTTTGGATATCTAATTTCTTTATTCATGTATGTGTACACTTTAGCAATGATGATCACAAGCTGACCAGAAATAAATATTTGTGTATGTTTCCCAGAAG